GGAACTCTGGCATGAAAATTAATACTTTTATATGTTTTGAGAAGTGATACCTTAGAAGAAATGAATTAAAAATCTGGGAGATTGAAAGCAAGCATAAAGAACAGGAAAGTTTCCAAATGGAAATTCCAAGATTAAAAAAGTGGCAAAAAAGGGAAAATCTGAATAAAGATAACCCAACATTAACGAAAGAAAGCTTCAATCATAATCCCATCAAGCTTTAAAAGGAACAAGGTGTGCATAAAACAAAAATCCTTTGGAATGGGAAATAAGCAATCAGAATTAAGGTACCTTACCCTGTGACAAAAGACCCACTTGGATTAACCCCTAAATTACTCAAAGCCATCACATGTCCTCAAAACTAGTAGCTCATCCTTCATGTACATTGGCAGGTGAGTTTAGAGACACTGACTTAAACCATGTGACACATGGTGCATAGGAGAGTGGCTAGGTACTCTACAGGAGCTAACAGAGAGGAGAAAGCCTTAGACAAAAAGCTTCTTTCTCTTAAAACAGCCTTGGTAAGCTTCTGTCAGTACTGTTGAAATGGATAGAGTCACTCACAGTTGCAGAGTTCCTAAAAATACAGATGAGTCAACTGGCCTTGTGTACCACAGGAAGTCTGAAATCTCATCTCTATTCTTTGTTTTATATATGTAAAACAGTTATGTCTTAAAAAGCTACTAGGTGTTAAATTATGAACTTCCTAATTTTTGTCTGCTTTAATTCTCTAATATAACAGGGGGAAAAGCCCAATCAGTTTATATAATGCATTGTGTATTCGGACATTAGTTTTTAGGAGGAACACAATTTTTGATCAAGCAATTAATATAATTACACCTTAGCTTTTAGAAAATTATTCTGGAAGTGATCAGCATTTTGTTTGCATAAGTGGGAACCATTTTGCCATTGAAAGAATGATAGAGAGTAGAAAATACTGAGACACAATGCAGCTGCGTATGAAGACAGTACAACGAAATGCATTGAAAGATGTCACATAATAGGGGAGCAGGGTGATAAAGAAAGAATGTGATAAAGGAGGTTAACCTGATTAAAGTGTGATGTATGTGCTATATACATGTGTGGAATACCAACCACAAATCTCCTTACACTATCAAGATACACTTAAAAAATGAAGGATTAGAAGGTAAAACAGATCCTGTCGGAGGGAGGGCACCAGTGTGGGGGAAATGGGTAAACAGAGAAGGAGGGCAAATATGGTAGGTGTACTTTGTACACATGTATGAAAACAGAACAATGAAACATGTTGACATTGTTCTAAGAATAGGTGAGAGGAGATGAAAAAGAATGATGGAGGGGGGAAATTTAATTTAGATATATTATAAGCACTTACATAAATGTCACAATGTATCCCCCTGTACAGATATTGTATGCCAATAAATAAAAAGAAAGTGAAATGCAAATCCAAAAAGAGAATGTACGAATCTGTTGACACACTTCTGCCACTCTGCTTTGTAACACTTGTGTAATACATACATACACACATATATCACACAAACGTGCATTATCACGTCACTTTTTCAAAGACATACAAATATTGTCAATGGTATTTGTCAAGAAATTCTGCTAATTAGACTTTTCCTCTGATTTCTAGTTATTTCCAGTAGGGATCTATTGAAAAGAAAAGCTTTTATTTTACATTCAGTCATTTAAGTAAGCTTTTCTCTGATGTGTATTATTAAATTTGTATATATATAAAAGCCACAGAAATCTCAGTACACAATTCCTACAAAAATATGCAAATTAATGGAAAAAATCAGTATTTTACAACTTAATTAATAGCTTCAGAAAGAGAACATATCACTATTGTTTAAAATGAAGAGTGACTAAGTCAAGAAACACTTTTAAAAGCACGCTTCCTTCCACAACATGTATAGATTGACTTCATGTATTCTTATATAAAGTAGTGTTTCCTAAAAGGAAAACCAGTATTCACAGCTTAATGACTGAAAGGTGCTCTTCCAACTGAGAGATACAGATGCAAACAAAAGTCTGCACAAAAGCAACAGAGAAAAACTGACCAAAGAGGTACAATGGATTCAGTGTACCTTTCGAAACTCAAGCTGTCATCCAGTTTGTAAGAAAATAAGGAATGGAAGTATTGGCCTAAACTCCACTGAATCACAGAAGCCTTGCACAATACAGCACAAGTGACATCTTTTTCTCAACGAGGCACCAGGCTCATTGAGCCAGGTGATTCAATGACCCTCTCAACCTGGGGACAACCCCCCTCCTGGGTGGAGGTCCACAGGCAGAGCAGTATGGGCAGCTACATTGTACACAGTCAGTAAATATCTAAGAGGGGAAGGCTTCAAAGATCATGATCCTTGATCTTTTATGATTGCTACAGTGATTCTTCAATAAAACATTACTTGCAATCATTTCTTAAATGACTGACAAAAGATTACATTTTCAATTAAATATCTTCAATTGTCTTACATTCATATGGAAATCTGTTTAAATTAATTCCTAAGCACAATGCTTCATTAGGTGGTACAGAATATGGGCAAATTAATGAAATTGAAAGAGGTTTTTCTAAAACAGAGATAACACTGATGTTGCATAGATATTTTATAAACTCTTCAAAGAATATCATTTCTGGGTTTTTTGGGTCACTTTTCCTATAAATTTGTTTAGACCTTGCATAAATGGAATGTATGCCAATTCGAATCACTCATAAATTTAGGAGTGAATGGGGGAAATCTGGTTGGCATTATATTCCAAGGTGCCCCAACTAGCTTCTCATGGTTGAGGTCAGGATTGTTCACTCAGATGTGTTTTTAGCCAAACACTTTAAACTTCAAACTTTCAACGTTTTAATTTCTTTTCTGATTGGGATCATTATTAAACAAATACTATGTCATGTACATTTCACATAATTTTTTAGGACTTTTGTCATGATATTTGGCATTCTATGAAATTACTAAATGAGATCTCTTTTCAGAATTCATCTTCTAAATTACAAGACAATCACAAAATACTGCTGGCTTATAGGATTTTGCCCCAAACACTGAACATGTTATTCTAATGTTTCACAACCTAATACCAACATCATTTTCTTGTTTCTCTCCCACCACTCTTTTCCACATAATCCAGGCTCTCTCCTACCAACACTGAACCCATTACATTTCCCCAAAAACCCATGTACAGGTTCACATTCCTGAGTTTTCACTCTGAATATCCTTCTTGGGTTACCTGGATTGCAGCACCAATCCCAGTGAATTATAATAAATAAGTTTTTAAAAAATGTATTGTTTTTATGCTTAATTATGAACTTCTGGAGGATAGGGTCATAACAAAGATACTGTCTTACTTATCCAGTTGCCAGCAGAATGTTTGGCAAACAGCAGTCATTCAATAATAACCTCAGCAACAATGGTATCCACTTCTAGAGTATTAACCATTTTAAATGAACAGGGAAATTAATGATTTCACAGTGAAAAAATATCTGTGAAGTAATTACTACCTTAGGTATTTTCATATACAAGTATTACTCATGCCATAGCAACTTTGTAAGACAGATGTTCATTTTCATGTAATTTTCCCGGGGTTCATAATAAGTAGTCAATCTAAAACTTCAACTCAGGCTTCAACTCCTAACCAATCTGACCAGGAAGATTTATGTCATGTCCTCAAACCTAAGCAATAACTGTTAATTCTTTCACCATCTTAAAGTCACATAAATTGCCTGTCATTTTCTCTTAAAATATTTGTTTTAATGATTGACATACTGAGAAATTATTTTTATATCTACAAAGGTCACTGGTTGTTGAAGAAGGACTTCATGGATCTTTACAGCATTGTAGAAAACTAGAACTGAGCCTTGTAAAAGAAGGATTCTCTGAAGCATTATGGACAGTCTTCAATTTTTGCTCATTTGTTAAAGGATGACACTAGGCCAAAAGCTTTCAATGCACTTTTCACAAAGACAATAACTACTTTAATTACTGTTAATTATTCAACCAATCAACCATTCACTTAGTGAATGAAAACTGGGCTAAGTCTTACATTGATTTAAAAAAAAAAAAACCAAAGATTAAAATTCTCTTTATTCTACTAATGCCTATAAAACTTGTTTTCTGTTCTTTTTTAAAGGTACAACTCCATCAGTCTTGAAGAAACACTTCAAATCTTGAACAAATTAACTGAATTTCAGAAACAAGAGAAAGTTTATTCCCTTCACCTACCTCAGCATCAGACTCTGTACCGAAGCACATTTTAAAGCAAAGATATTTTGCAAGTTTGAAATATATTTTGATGATTCATGACAATTCCTATCTTTTGCAAGCATAAGCTAGGTTCACTTATGTCAATGTATGCCATATATTAAAAAATATTAATTTCAACATGAACTATTGTTTAAGACAAAATGCAATGAATACATGCTTTCACAACAATCAAGTCACAAGTTGGAGGAGCATCAGCAGTAAGTAACGTGTTCCACATTTTCAAATGCCTACAGATAACACATTTTTTGAATGTTTTAACCAAATTTATTAAGAAAAGCTTTATGCTTTAGCAAAATAAAAATAGCTGGTACCAGTGGCACACACCTATGGTCCTAGATACTCGAGAGGTTAAGATATGGAAGATCACTGTTCCAGGCAGGCTGGGGCAAAACATTTGTGAGACCCCATCTCAACCAGCATACCTGTCATCCCAGTGATGATATCCCAGGAAGCGTAAAACAGGAGGATCACAGTCCAAGCTGTCCTGGGCAAAAAAATGAGCCCTTATCTCCAAAATAACAGAGTGGAAGGGAATGGAAGGGCAATGCAAACCTGAGTTGTAATATTCCTTTTTTCTTTGGTGCCATAAATATGACTCAAGAAGTAGAGTGCCTGCTTAGCAAGCACAAAGCCCTGAATTCAAATGCCAGTACTGCCTAGACAACAACAACTACAACAAAACAAGGCAATAAAAGAGTTCAAGATCAACTGCTGTTGTTAAATTTTATTTGCTAAACCTTGTTTAAAACTTACCTTGTTTGCAATACTTGTGATGAATGACTTAACATCTAGGTTTGTTGGACAGCTCTTCTGACAGGGGGCATCTGCACACTTCAAGCATCTGAGGAAGAAAATAACTGTGTTAAGATAACTACAAAGTAACCGACATAATCTCCTACAGCTACATCCATCAGGATGGAGTTAACAACTACTAAGTATAAATAAAATTATAGTATTTTAAGATACAAAACATTAAGCAAAAAGTATACGCTATACCTGTGTTTCACCCTTTGATGATGAGATCGGTAAAGCAACCCCACTCAAACTGCTCATCCTCTGAGTGTGTCACATAGGTTTTAAGAGGACCATACTTAAGACACATCACTCACTCCTTTCCCATACAGTCCTGTTTTGATCTCTCACAACACTGCCAATGATGAGAACATGTGATATGAAGTTTGCGTGCTTGAGACAACAAGTCAAAGAGAAAGTCTCTTATTTTACTAATAACAATTTTCTCTCTTCACTCCCACTTTTGTACCTTTTCTCCCCCTCTCCCTCTTCCATTTTCTGATGCTCTTCAATCTATAGTTCGTTCCCATAACAAACTGGCTCTGCAGCAGTTACTTCAAAACAGCCCACATTCAGCCCTTCTAGGACAAAAGCATTTACTGCCTTCAGCTAAAAGAAGAGGAACTCAAATAAGGTCATGGCCCTGTTTCTAGTGGCATCCCTTATCCAATTACAGGGTGGTCAGAGATCCATACCCATCATCCCCATTTGGGGATCTGGTATGAGAGATCCACTGAAATCTTTGTTGTAACTCTGCCCAATTCTACTTCCTTCACTCCTATCAGATGTGATAAAGTTCCTGTATTCCAATCTCATCTTAGAATCTTCTTCCTGGGGAACTGAGCAAAACATGCTTAGACTTTAGCACATCTAAGAACCACCTGGGATGCTTGGTAAAGGTCAAGCATTCCACAGAGGTGCCCCTGAGGGGTCTGAGCTATTGCTCTGAGAATCTGCATTTTGAGCAAAAGCCTCTGAGGTGATTCTGATACACCTGGCTGGAACCACACTGTGAGAACTGTAATGCTACATAATTACTACTTCAGGACAATTGTTATCACATCCTTCAGGATGGGATGGCTAGAACCATCCTTAATTTGTACATCATGTTTGTGAGTATTCATTTACTCTTTGATATTAAATAGTAACTGATGCCCCGTGCTATGGTTTGGGGCTGCCTATCAAGTGTTCAAGCATTGGGAGCTTCAGCTTCAGTTGAAGGGTGTTGAGGGGTGATGTGGACCTTTAAGAGAGAAAGCCTGGTAGGAAGTAATTAGTTCATTAGGACTCTGGTCTCAGAAAGAATTGATGTAGTTCTTGTGAGATCCTGTTAGTTTTTACAAGAGGATTGTTACAAAAACCATAAGCCTGGCCCCTTTCCTGAGTTCCCTCTGGCTTTCTGTCTTCCGTGTGATCTCTCCTTCTCACATATGCTCCCACTGTGATGGCATCCACCATAAGGTCCTTTGTACAGCTGGCACCTTGTTATTTGGACTTTTAGCCTCCCAAACTGTGAGCTAAATAAGCTTTTATTGTCTATAAATTATTCATTTTCAGGTATTTTCTTATACTAACAGAAAGGAGACTCCTGCATCTTGTTATATAGTAGAACTTAGGATAAGAGAATATAAAATAATGGACAGACTACCTTGGTTCTGCTTTCATGAAACTCACAGTTTGGAGGCACACAGAGGCATCAGTGTTCAGTGCAAACTTTCATGAAAGATAGCATGCCAAGAAAACACACAGGAGGGAAAACAGTCCTTGATGGAGAGTCAGGAAATGCTGGTTGAGTGGACATTAGGAAGCAAATGATGACAGAATCTGAAGTGAAAGGGGAAGTTAAGAGAATGATTCAGAAATAGAAACTGTCAGGGCTCAGAAATGAAAGAGCATACCAGGCTAGGGAACCCATAGAATTTAGTCTAAGGCAAGTGTGAGTTTAGAGAGAAACTAAGCCAGAGATATACAATTTAGGAAAAAAGGCACCTGTCATGTGTTTCAAAAGACCAGAGTCCTCCAAGAATTTCACTGAGATTGAGTCCTACGTTATTCAGTGACAAAGACGACTAACAAACTCATTTTCTGTCCACTTCCATGTGTAAAGACCTTGGTTCACTTCCTGCAAGAAAACAAAAGCAGTCTCCTTGTCATTCTTTTGTAAGAGAGTCCTCTTCATTGTCTGAACCAATTTCTCAGAACCTAATTAATATCTTGTTTTTAAATCTGATCTCCTTTCTCTGGCTTGTGCCCTTAGCCTTCTCTCTAAATTAAATTTTACACAATGAGCACCGAAGGCTTTTCATAATCAATTGTCCTCTCTGAAATGTAGTCATTAAACCTCTCCCCTCTCATTTCTCCAAATGTCATTGTTATATTCAAATCTATCACTTATTTGAATTCCTATATACTTATACTTATGATTTTTTTTCCCCTGAAACTGTCACTGAGTTCAAAAAAATGAATTTCTTGAAAGTAGGACCTACAGTATATATTGCCAAATAATGTAGAGTCATGACCTATTTGGTCCTTGGTGTTGAAATGAGGGGATATGTGTTAATGTTATTTGGACAAATAAATTGAACATTAAAGTAGTTTGAAAGCATTTCCTATTATGTGTAAGATAACTTAGCTAAAAATTTAGCAGATGCTGGGCTATCTTGAATATTTTCTCATCCATAAACAAGTCACTTTAACAGTTTAAAAATCTATGCCACTCTAAGGGAATAAGTATGAATATTCTGATGTATACATATACACACAACACATACACACATAGAGAAGAGAGGTAACAGCATATAGATTCTGACTAGCACTAATGAAGTCACAGGTTTCTTGCTTTTCTTTTTTCTAACACCCACTTGAATAATAAGGCAATTAAAAATAGACTTATAATGTCAGCAGGTATGAATGGACAACATTAATATGCAGTGTGGTTTTCTCTTCAAGAGAAATCTTAAATTCAACATAAACAGATTCACTTAACAGCAGTGACAATGTAAGGATTTTTAGTTGTGGTTATTAAGCCTCTTTACCAAATAATTCTCCTTTTATTATTGAGCTAGTTCACAAATAACAGCTGTTGGAAATGTCAGATGTTAATGAGTTAGGGCAATGCAAACCTGAATTGCAGTATTCCTTTTTTCTTTGGTGCCATGAATACGCCAGAGCGGGCAGACTCTGATAATAATACCATCCCTGCAATTCTCTGAGCGCTCCACAGACTAAAGTGCATGAGGATGCCATTAATCCCACTTATCACTCTGACAGCTCCGTAATTACAGCACTGCTATAGCCAGGTAGTCCTAACAAAATATCAACCACTGCACTGGAATGCATACTGGCGAGATGTTTTATTAAACTTGGGGGGGGTGTTGATCATCAGTGACATTATTGTTGACCTATTTTTCTATTTGACAATAAATTATCCTTTGACCAGGCCATAATTGATATTACAGAGTGCATTTACTGTACCAAATCAGAAAGGTACTATGTTACAATGGTCCAGGCAGATGGCATAAATAAAATAGAAGAAATGCATGTTAGAATGTTATTACTTAAATTGCTTTAAATGATTGATACCATGAAAAGTCACAGACACAGTACTTAGGGGAATATGTCAACAATTACTGTAAACCACAGTTCTACATAAATTTTTCCTTAGAAGTAACATTTAAATTACACTTGTTTTTATCTTCACTCACTCCATTCCCCTTTTACCTTTCAAAGTCATTGTTGCAATGCAGTTTCTTTGTTTAAATGCTTTGTAAGAGACAAAAGTTAATTCAGATAAACATTTATGTCATATTTTAGCCCCCAGATAATTACATTTATACTAAGAAGATATTAGATTATTTTTTAAAAGCAGTGAAACATCTTAGTTTTTTTAACTAGTGATAAACTTTATTCATTTCCATATTTAATAGCAAGCGTAACAGTGGATTTCATTAAAAGCAAGACGTTAATCTTTCATGATTCATCATGACCATAAAAATATATGAAACTTTAGCATTGCTACCTACTTAAGGGACATAGCTATTCAAGATATATTCATATATTTATCCAAGAACTTTCTCTGGGGAAAGAGACATGTGACACCTCCTGCCAAGGATTGGTGAGGCTGAACAGTTTTATTCAATATTATAACACCAAAAATATTACAGTAAGTGATGAAATAAGCAACATTTTATTCTTCACACAGCTGAGAACAGATGCCTGCTTCTACTATTGGTAAGTCTGCACACAGCTGGAACTATAACCCATGCTTATTAAAAGAGTTTTCTACTCAAGAGCTTAAATGACTCAATTTCTCAGAAAACACAACACAATAACCACATACGCAAAAAGAGTCTACTTGAAAACCCTACTCATGTTTCATTGTCTTGGTTTTCTTAGACTGTGTTTTAATCAAGCTAGCAATGTTTCATCAGACTACATAATCTATATTAACCTTTACTTAATAGAATCAGGCAAGTTCATATTTTATATTAAAAATTAAAATATTTACTGAATAGCAATATTGCATTTCCTCCTATATTTGATGCTGAGTACCATCATTTGGAGAATCTACCTACTTGAGCCTCAATGAGCCCTGGCTTCCCTGTCCTATAAGCACCAGTATAAGCAAATGTGGAATCCAACATCCCTAAGTGTACTACTTCCTCCTGAAACTGGGGAGGTCTCGGGGTCAAGTTGAATGCAAGGAGCATGAATCATGAAACGCAGATTGGAAAGGTCACGCATGTGTCCTTTCACAGCTTTCATGACTTGTACCCAGACCCTGCCATAATAAAGGACTGAAGAAAGACAGCTGGTATCTTTAAAACATGATGGGACTAATTTAATGTTCTGATCCAGGAGACAGTCAAAAGCCATCCTCAGCTTCCAAGAATTCTTGGGAATTGATACTCAATACTCCACTAACAGCCCTTCCTAAGCACTTTCTTTGCTGATGCCGCTTATCTGATACACCACAGGGTCTTACTGGCTTCGGGGTATTTGGAACTAACTTTGAATAACCTTAAAATGCATCTTGGCCCTATTTCTACA